AAATAGCATTACCAAAGATATTTTTGTACAAGGAAAATTATTTTTGATCACTGAGGAATTTTATAACGAGCCTTGTTCTTCTGTAGAGTTTTTCAATATTTATGTGGTGAAAAATCTTGCTAATGATAATACCATATTACCAGTCAATGAAATCAAACAGAAATGTCTTAGATATCCTATTAGTCCTTCTTTATTTGTTGTTATCCCCCTTCTGCACAAAGAAACCACATAAATTTCACATTCATAATATTTCAATTCACACTAAAATAATCGTCCCTCCAATACTAAAATCATAAATGTGAAAATTTGCAATTTTGAGAAAACTTTGATTGAGATGTTTGGATGAATACTAAAAATAACCCCTTTTGTTCAGAATGCTACCATATAATTAGTTTTGGTTATTGTTTGAGTTGTAAATTCCTATTTTAAAAAAGACCACATCCATTATTTTGCTTTGGCAAAAATTTGCACATTCACATTTGAAGACACGAGTGGATAAAGGGTCTATGTGACATTTTAATGAAAAATGAGATTTTTGGGTGGATAAAGGATTTAAGTGAGTAGAATGTTTTCCCTACTGATACCGTTCATCTATTGTACAAAATAAGAAAGTTATATATTGATGAAAGATCTATGTTCACCTATGTTCTATCATTGCCACTGGATGAAGGGTTTAAGTACATTGTATTGTATGAACATGAATCCTTCATCCATGATTATTCTATTTGTCGGGTACTTGAAACAAACTCTGTTTATTTGAAGGATGAAGGATTCATCATGTACCTTTTTTGAGTTTTTTTTTATTGTATTATATATATACCAGTGTCAGATGTACTATGCAAAATTGTGTTATAAAGGTCTATTCAAACCAGCGATTATTTTTTTCATTCAACGCAATACAAAAAACTGCGGCATCAAAAACTTTGAACATCATTTGCTCCAAATTAATTTTGTGTGACTTGAACCCTTTATCCACTTGTGTCTTCATTTATGACATTTGGATGGACGAATTATAATAATGTTCTTATTTTACAGAAAAATTATTTTCAGTTTTATCCTACCTCCTACTGAGTATTCTACCAGTAGTTGAGTTCAGTATATAGTATAGTATTTTCAGTATATGGATATTTTTGACCTTGAATTTGGCATGTGGGACGACAAATATTTTGCCATCATCATAAATAATAAATAATGTTATCAGATATGAAATGTTCATGTAATTTTTTCTGTTTTGAAAGTGGGTCGTTGTCCAGTTTTTGAAAGACTCATCAGTGTCTACAATACCATCAAAATGGTTAAAATGCCAAACAGATGAGGATGATACACTTGAATGTTTTTGGCCAACAAAGAAGATAAGACAAAAAATACAGAATACTTCCGATGCTGAAGAGGACTGGCAAATATTTTCAGTGAAAATTCTTCAAGAAACAGGTGATATATTAATTATTTTTCAGTATGTTCAGAATTAAATATTAATTGGAATGACAAGTAGACAAAAACTCAAAGTCGTCTCCACAATTTGTTCACAAACATTTGGCTCCATTTTGAGAAACCATTGACTTCTACCAGAGATTAGGTATTGATTGAAATGCTTATTTCTTCAAATGAAAAAAAAGTGCCTCAATTCACTTGAGGCAGAAAAAATACGCTAAGCAACAAAAATAGTAGATCAAAAGTGATAACAATCTTAGTTCATTTCATGAAGGAAAAATAGACTTTCTGAGTTGAAATTTTCATTGTGGCTATAAAATAACCAATTATTTTTCAATGATTGAATTTAACAGGAAATTATTCATGTTTCAGATGATTATGCAAAAGCGAAATGTTTTGAAAAGACTTGTAGTGAGGAAGAATCTTCTGACACTACAGAGCAATCCAAAACATCGAGGAAACGAAAGATTCCCAAAAATCAAGATTTTGTGTCTGGAAATTCATCAGAAGAAGAAACATATAATTTACCACCTCTACCAAAGATTCCACTAATGACTGATGTATCCAAAACTCAGAATGCTTGTATTTTGGTTGATGAAAGCTCTGATAAAGAAGATTCAAGTGAAAATGGAATTGAAACTACAAGTACATCAAGCACAGGTGAGTGAAATATTTGTTATGTAAATTTTGTGCTTCAGAGCTATTTCTCCAATAGAAACTGTTATTAAGGTTTATATCAAATCATAAAAATGTTCATCTTCTTGATTCTAAAATGATAATCTTCTGATTGGTAGCTTTCCCAGATTCGGGAATCGAAATTACGGACTATTTAAATCTAAGATGTGTCCACAGATGGTGCGTTAGTATCATTATATGCACTCTCCATTTAAATGAGAGAATAAATACTCAACGAATTTTTCATTTTCATCAACACATTATGCAGTGCTGAAGAGATCTAACTAGATCGAAACCGCCAGTCCACTTGCTATGTCTTGATGAAAATCAAAAATAAATTCGTTTTTTCAAAGGAATATATCATTTACAAAAATTTAGGGATTTTAATTATTTGCAGTATCTTTTAATGAGGAAATTGAGGAAATGGATAAAATCATAATGCCTCCTCCATTAACAACTAAAATACCCAGAAGAACAGCAGAGACAGAAAAACTCAACTTAGTTAATAATAATGAACCAGGTGAGTGAAATATCATTTTTTCAACAGGAAAAACACGAGCTTTTTTTTGGAAAAAATTTTATTCCTAAGAAAATTATTACTGATGGAAAAATATTGAGTTAGTAAGGAAATTATTCCAATTGAAAAAAGTTCGAGTGTTTTTTAGGCAAGATAAATCAACGACAATATATGAAATTGATCTTTCCATTAGCACCTATTTGTATCAATCAACAATGATGTAAATAATACTGGTGTTTCTACTCTTCAATTATTGTTTTCCTCCAAAATGTGTGGATGGATTTCAAGATTGGCCATACTTTCATAATACACCTGACGATGGAGGTTTTGTAGTCATTTGTGTTTTCATGAATTCTATCATTTTCTAGGCCATGAATAATTGTCATTATAAATTTTAATCAGAATTTCAATTCATGAGACGGCATTTTAACTATAGGTATTCGCAAGCTAAACGGCACGCCATCTATCGATTTTTCTCAGAAGGATCTCCAATCTATTGAAAATCGAATATGTCAAGTTAACTTTTCCCCGATTACATCCGGAGCATTTGCACATGTTCCTTATCATTAATTAGCTCCAGTAGCTCCATCCACTATTGTTATTTTCATGATTGTTTCAACAATACCAAACAACCTAACAAATTGAATAGATGAGCGCTTACTAGATCAAGTCTGATTGATATTAGGGAACAGGCATTCATTTTTATCTCGATAAAAATGATGCATCCTGTTCATCCCTGCCAAAATTACTCATGCCATCCTCAAATAGTGCTTTTTCTGGAGGAGTTGATTTATCAATTTGGTTACCTGAATATTCGAATATTTCAGATTGTTGTTGTGTCCATGTGAGGAGGCTGAATGAGCATGTGGTTGCTCTGAGGACGCTACTGAATGAACACACCATAAATTTGAAAAAAATTATTCCATCTCAAGCATCTGAGCCCATCACAGCATTTGACACAATTCCCCATGATGCTTTCACAAAATACAAAAAATTGGAAAAATTCGATGAGATCCTGAAAAATTCAGAAGATGCAAAAAAGCAGTTGGTATGTTTTATGAGCTTTCTGAAAAATCCGCAGTAAATGAATATCATTCCAGGAAACTCTGTTCTACATTGGTGGAGGGGACTGTCCCAATGAAATGATTAAGAGTGGACTAATAAGGATATTCTCCAATAAATCCACAAAATGTTCATGGTATGGCAGAAAGGAAAACTATCCACTCAAACACTTACAAATATTATCAACTTTGAGAGGTGAGTCCATATTGCATATAAATTATGTCAATCTAGAATGATGAAATTCAGAATAGTTCACTTAAATCAGAAATATGTAAAAAAGTACAGCCCTAGTATAATTTCATATCAATTTGGTGACTTTTTGTTGACATTTTTGATGCCAAATCAAATTGACACTAGTGACAATAATAGATTTCATATTGACACTTTGTCAATGTGAGATTTCAGTTAACATTAGGTCAGTATGGAAAAAATGTATTCTTCTTGAAATGCTCTTATAAGTATATATATAAGATTCTTGATGCAGTTCTCAAACTGATATAATTATGTTATTATACTGAATGCCAGTTGCTTGAAAGCCAATCAACAGAGTTAATCAGTCAATAAACGTGATGTGATGCTTAGATTATGACATATTTCATTCACATAATCACAGTCTAAGCATCACATCAAATCTACTGTATGCTTATCAACTGTTGAAGAAATACCACTATTAGATCCCCTCAAAATTCTGAAATTCCTGAAGGAATTTAATCTTGAGGGGCTGCTATGAACGAGAAAACCTTGATATAGCAGAACCAGATGGGGCACAATAGATCTAATTAGGTCGCAGCGCATCTGTCACCATCCAGCCTACCAATACCAGTGTAAATTAAATAAATTAATAGAATGTAACTTTATTTGTAGATTCGGCCCGAAAACGATTCTCAAGATTGACGGATAGCGATTTCGAGAAATATACTTCCACGTGGTTCAGACAAGCAGCCCTTCGGTTCAAGAGGGAAGGAAACATATAATAATTTGTTGATGATTTTCAATGAAACATAAAATACCACCCGTTTTTTTTTGCCTTGCCTATACCTTCTCACATCCATTTCATGAATAAAATATCTATAATTAGAATAGGATATGTTTTGTATCTACCATGTTTCAGAAACGTGTCAGATGACACGTGGAATTATTGGTTTCAGCAATGTTTCAGATATGTGTTTTGATGTATTCACACGCAGTTACGTCATGTATCAGTAACGTTTCACATGAAACATTCTTCGTGTGAAACGTTTCATACCTAATAGGCCATTTCTGGTTTCTGCAATGTTTCAGGAACGTGTCTGAGTCAAAAATTGAAACGTTTCAAATGGAAAATGATCGGTTTCAGAAATGTTTCAGACACATATTTTGGTTTACTGGGATAGTTGTTATGTATGATGTGCAAAATATGGAACTATTTAACTTATGCAAGGTTACTCTAGATGAAGCTGTTCATATTGAAGAAATTACTAGAAAGCAGAGTAAATCAGATCATTGGATTAAGCAGAGGCAAAATAGAATAACTTCTAGTAAGTTTGGTGATATAATCAAACGGAAGGCCCCTGTTAATGAGTCTCTTATTAACAGAATATGGCCTAGAACTAGTGTAACCACAGCCTCCATGAAAATGGGTTTAGATAATGAAGAGAAAGCAGTTGAAAAATACCTCATGGATAATCCAACATATAAAGCATTTACTTGCGGGGTTTGCATAAACCCTGGGATTCCATTTCTAGCTTCAACACCAGATAGGTTGATATATGATACAGAGACGGAACAATGTCATTTACTTGAAATAAAAACACTTGTTAAAGGAGGACTAACATTAAAACAAACTGTAAGAGAATGTATACAAGACAAATCTGCCCCATTTTTGGAAGTTACTAGAGAAAATGAAATACGGCTTAAAGAAAACCATGGACACTATATGCAGATACAGGCTTGAAAACATGTCACCTTTTAGTTGACAGTGGATGTGATGTATTCAAGCAAGTGATTGATTTTGATGAAAGCACATGGACTAATGAGTATTTGCCAATTTTAACTCTGTTTTATTTTCATCAATTCAAAAATTCTCATCACTTTAAACAATAATTTCAGTGTCGGCAGAATATGAGGCTTGTTAATTCTAATACCTTTGATTAAAATATATTCAAGAAATATTTTCAGTTTTTATTTTTATTTTATCCACAATAATTTATTCCTTCTGAACATAACATTATTTCACAGGAACATCTCGCCTTTCAAGAAGTGGTTCTTTAGTGAAATTATTCAAGAAACAGCATATTTTCCAAATTTTATTTAATTGGTCAGCCAGTGAATTGGGAACTGTGGAATGCAGGATACGGTTCAGCTTTACTTCTCTTATTGCCCGTTCTACATGAATTCTTACTTCTAAAATAAAAAATTGATTATGATTTTTCCAGAAACAACTTCAAACTTCAACTCACTTGCTATATCTCTAGTTGTTACTTCTTTTTCTGGATTCAACTGCTGCTCTCCCTCTAGAAAAGGAGGAATATTGAGGTCACAACCTTTCTTCCTCAATTCATCTGCAATGATGAATCCCCTGTCTGCCATAACAGA